TACAGAGCGGCTTGCTGAAGGTTACGATGAGCGCAATGATATTGATGATGCATCACTTGAACATTTGTTCATGATGTTCACTACAGAAGTGCCTGTGCGCAAGATTTGTGCTTATCAATAGCATAGCAACAATAAAGCAGGGTCTGATTTTGCGGACTTTAATCGCAAAGAGGCATTGTCTTTGTGAGCGGTTGTTGGGAAATTGAACAGAAGATGATGTGATTATACCTTACTTGAAAATCAGTCCAAGTGATATGGACCTTAAAAAATTGTCATTTCAACGTTTGGGTATTTACTTGTCACTGACTTAGACTGTTTTTCATAATTTTCCTGTTGACGAGGACCATCCGTCACATTTTGTTGTTTGCTTATTAAATTAATGCTCTGAACTCCAAACCTCCACGTGTGAAATATTTGAATAAAAAGTGTTCATTACACTGGCTGGTATTTAAAATAGGCACCTTTCCATTTTATACCTCTTCTTGCGTCGGCGGATTAAACTCAGGAAAGTTTAGCAAAATTGGTTTAAGGGTGTGAACCAAAAGGATCATTCTCTTCGGCATTAGACATTCCTTCAAATAACACAAAATATGGCATCCGGGACATGTTTTGGTCACACATATTTTACAGTAAAAGGAGACTCGTAATTACAGTTTCCCAATTTTTTTTTCTGAATAAATCCGAGGGAAACCCTCTCAGGCAGGCTGTTATTGCCTTGGGGGGGGGGGAGGAGTCCTTTTGGGGACGTGGCTCGTATTGAGGTGAGGGGGGCATTTGGCACCTTTTTTGACACATAAATGACATTTTCACGCTTCTTTCCGAAGACAACACAAGCCAACGGATGGCAAAAGGCACCAGAGGATATGTGTTTGGTCATTCTGGTTTTTCCCCACTAAACCGCTCTCACATGTCTCAACAGGTCAAAAGGTGGTCTCAGCTTAGCGCTGCCAGGCCCGGCCGGCCTAATAATAATGTCAGACAGAGGGCAATAAACTATCTGTTGTGGCGTCAGCAATGCAGCTCAAGACACGTTGATGATCCCAAACAGTATCTCATGGTGCAGTGTCCCAATTCAAGGAAAATTCTCCGCCAGGCAGAGGGGTACTTTTTGTGCGCCTCTGCAAAGACCATACATGCCGGAGTACTCAGCATGCTCCGCGTCAAACGCGCATTATACTTGCGCGCCTCAACTCATGGCGCGCCTATGCGGTGATTTTAAAAAAAAAATCACGCCCTCTTTTGTTCCGCTCGGAGCGGATTAGCTTGAAGGGTGCAGTGTATTCTCCGCCTGGCAGATGCGCACAAAAAGTACCCCCCACGTACAGATTCTTTCGAAAAGAGGGGTCTGTTTGGGCCAAGAAATGGTGGCATTGTGTCAGTGTGGCCCAGAATCACCTCTGTAGATTCAGGGGCACCCGTCTGGGGGCAATGCAGACAAAACTGTGATTGAAAATTTGTCAGAGGAGCCCCAGGAAGGTGAGGGATGTCATTTGAAAAATGGCCTCTGAGAACACTTGGGAACATTCACTTTTTGGGGGGTGAGTTTGTTTTGGGCGGATAATTAAAAAATTCATTGGTTAACTTACTAAAAATTGAAAATCAAATGAAATCTGAAGAACTAAATAAAACATTGCTTTTTGTTTGAGAGGCTTCCGGGACTTCTGTTGCCCGCCACGGGGCTCCGAACTTGGTTGATTTTACATTATTTTCAATGGAGCTTGAATTGGTTCAGTGCACCCCTCATTGGTCTCAATTCACTGGCCTGATTCACTAGTACATGTACAATAAGGGAGAGGGTATTTTCTTCACAATCATGTGCAGTGGGAATTGTGTATGCAAACACATGCTAAGATAATCGGACAGGGGATGTTTCCGGCTGGCTTCAGGGACTGCCTGGGGTGATCCCAAGATTGAACCCCCTCCAAAAGTAGCAGCACGAGGGTTCAGGAGAAGTCACGGGGGCTTGGCTGGGTCATGTGCAGCATTTAGAAAAACAATCAGATCACATGATGTGTGACCAAAGGCTGTCCCGCCTCTCTTACGAAAGGGAATGGACTGTATTCAGCATGTATGATTGTCTTGCCCATATTTTTTTCTTTTTTTTTTGCTGCAATGAACAGATAGCAGCAGTGTATCTTTGACCTATTAAACTCCCAGAATGCAATCGTGCGTGTAGTAATTTGAAATTGTATTGAATTTTTCCTTTTTAAGGAACTTACAAATAATCAGTCTGCTCCTGTCAACCCAACATGACTTTGAAGACATATGCAGATTGGGAGGAGGCGGTGAGGGTCGCCCGGGTCACTTATGACCACTCGCAGGCCAAGTTGGTAACCGGAACGAAAGGTGTTCGGAAGTCTAAGCAAAAGGCTTTTCTCTCAGTGCTGTCAACGAAACGCCCTCTTAATAATGCCTCATCAGAAATTGAAACTCCAACGTCGCCTGGTGCTCAGAATACACAAGCAACAGTATTAAATTCTAAACGCAGGTAAATAAAATAAGGTTAACTTCAATTGTTAATTGGGTGATATAGCCACCAGTCCTTTTTTGCAATTGCTCGTAGTTTTCGTACTTGAAGTAAAATATCGCCCTTGATTTAGCCTATCCATTCTCAGAAGTGTCAGTCAAACAGCATCTCAGCATGGTACACTCAGTGCAGTTCTATTGATCCATCGAATGCACTTTCATATAGCAAGAAGCGCAAGAAGGTGCTGTTCTAAGAACTGGTGACTGCAAACAAAGAGCAAAATGGATCAACATCATTAGTTTTTATTCTGATCACAGCAATTCCTCAGCACTTATTTTTAGTACGATGTCGTTTGACATCATCAAAGCATTGCCATGCAGTTGTATTTGCAACCACCGCGGAATATATATTTTTAGCGAGTAAAATGTCTAGTCACTAAGACTTATAACAATTCAGCGGGAGAACATAATACATACTTTTTCCATGAACTCATGG